AAATGCTCGCTGCCCAAGCAGCAAAAAGCAGTTTAAGGAGCAACGGCATCAACGCCAAAGGCAACGTCGATTGAAAAACGACTTAATATTCAACCCAAGCATCTCGCGAAAATTTAGATTCATTCAGTTTGTCTATCCTGTCAGAAATATCCGAAACAGAATATTTAAGACAGCTTCAAAATTCGAAAAGGAAATTTAAAAAATTGGCCGTCGTATGGTTCACGCTCTCTCCAATATGCAGAAAGTGGCTATTTAACGTTGTTGTTTTGTGACCTTTTGTAAACAACGGCAAAGAAATGAACAAAGAATTAGAACGCACGCTTACACACCCATTGTACTTGTTGCCTTTGCCGTTAAAGTTTGCTTAATTAAACTCCCTAAAAGCGAATAAACGGCCAAATAATGAACAGCCAAACAAGCACAGAACAAACGAAAGCCTGGCCGAACAAAAAGACGGCTGAGAACGCAGAAAACATATCTGCTATGAAACAAAATCAAAACGCATACCATGACGTTCCCGCCATTTCGTCTCAGGTAGTCTGTCCACACATCGCGCGAGTAACATCCTCGGAAGAACTGGGTGCCATGTCTAAAAATAACTTAAGGCCTATATGGGGGATTCACTCTCTTACCTTGATAATCTCGAGCTCACTCTTTTAAGAGTATTAAAATACTCCCTCTCTTCCCAAGCCCAAAACAAGATGGCGCTTGCCTCACCAAAATGCACTCCCTCGCTCGCTAAAGGCAGAACTCGTCTAACATGCAGGCGGCTAGTATTTAATATATAGATTTAGCCAGGCCTAAAAGCGAAGTTCCTGATTGCAATAACTGATCATGAAGGAAAAAGACAATTATTTTTTCTTGGATCAGAAACTCAAAAAATTGATCAATTGTGAGCATGTAATTGTCCAGCGTGTGGTTTTGCTATTATTTTCCGGTTAAGTTTTGACAAACTATACCTAATTAGCCTAACCAAGATTGTACAAATTATGTATGTAATATATCAGGGACTTTCCAAGAGAGGATTGTGCAAGGAATATGTCAGGAAAAAAGTCGACAACGCGCCAGGGGTTTAAATTTACGCCGAAATTTTGTCTTTGTGAGTACTTCCTCCTTCTCCCCCAGACAAACAAAAACAACAACGACAACGAAAAAGAAAAGTCCTCCAGGTGGCAGATTTAAACGAGCGCTCATAAAAAAAAAAAAAAAAAAAAATACCGAGTCAATTTATTTGGGAAGTTTTGTTTCCCTTGGTTAGGTTATACATGATAATGAACATGATAAATAACTAATTGTTAGAAATGTGTGCTTTATTCAGAGTTGTTCTAAGAAATGATGATGTTAACGGCAAATAACGCCGTTTTAAAACACCTGACACACCAAATGTTGTAGACAGTTTGCTAATATGAATCATTAGAAACCTAATTTACAACACCCACTGCTCGCAGAGTAGATCGACAACTGACCTCATTTTTTCGTAGAGAAAAATTAACTGTTTTTCATGAGAAATATGGTTTACTTGGTCGTCCGTCGTTCTACACCATTCTAATTAAAATGAGCGAGTCAGGAGTATGGATAGGAACAGAATGGAGTATGTTTCGTTTGCTTTGCCTTCTTGTTTACGATGTACCCTTTTACATCATGTTCCTTCACGAACGAATTTTGAGTTGTGCGGATTAAGAAGTTTGCCTATATTTTAAGTGAAACATGGCTTGACTGAGTTGTGGATAAATACTAATTTATTAACTTTAAGTTGATTTGGGTAAATTATCGTCAGACCAAAGGGATATAATTCCTTGACACTTCCTAGTCCAGGGTGCTTTTACTGCTGTGGTGTGTAGCACAGCGTGTATTTAACTGTCATAGTCAATTCTTTTAGATTATCGATCAAATGCCCATATTGATAATATTGAGCGCAGTCTCATAGCTACAAAGGTATTCCCCTCATAGATCACATTTCTGACTACAAAATACGAAAAGTGTACAGATTGTTGGGTGGAAAATGTAAGAAAATATATTGAGCAGGACGAAAATGTTGAAGACAATGTTGGAAAGAAGGCAAGAGTTTTAGCTACAAATGAAATCGTTCAGTTTTCACGCTTAATTGGTTTGACTCAAACAAATGCAAATGCAGACCATTTTGGTTGTTTGATTGTTCTGCACGTATGTCAACAACTTCGTATTTCTCACCTTTACAAGCTGCTGCGATCGTTTTTTTCTTTTCTTTTCTTTTTTTTTCTTTTTCTTTTTGTGCTTTCACTGACGACAAGCTGAATTGGTCTAAAATGACATCGAGAGTAATATTTTGCCTGATCTACGGGAAGCATCATTTCTGTGTTAGCTATAAAAGACCGCCATGAAAAAAGTCGAGTAACAAAAAATATATATATATTTATATATCGCCTCAGAGGCGAAACGTCCCCCTTTAGGTCATTCAGAAAAAACAGCAACAAGAACAACAACAATCAAGAACAGTTGTGAATATTTGCCCGCTATCGAGCACTTTAGGGCTTTTATGGCAGTGATAAATATTTCCTGCTGCTGGTGTTCCGGCAGCTTTACTAGTCCTCCCAAACCTCCACATCCGGTTACAGAAAAATCTACAGGAGTTTTTTTACAATTTAACGCGATAGAAAAGCGAAGAAAATGTTTTCTATTTCTTTTAGGAATCACCGGGGCAAAAAGAAAAGAACGTCACTCGTTTATTTCGATTCTCAAAATTTCAACCAACTCTTTGCTCCCGTCATGCTTATGTCAACAGCTCTGGCCGGTACCTCTGTGTTTCTGTCGATTTCTAGAAGTACAGCTTTAAGCGACCGTGTTTTACTGGATGTTTTTTCATTGTTTTATGTTATACGATTTTTATTTGATTGAAAATTATTATTGAAGTCCTGTTTTAGCAATTCTTTTGGTTCAGTGTTTTCATACCATTAAAAAAAAAACCCTATTAAATACGATATGCAGACAATACCGAGAAACGTTTGCTAAATTTATGATATTCTAAAAACCATTATTTACAATGTCTGGAAACTTGGAAATAATAACGAAAAATCATTTCTCGTTAGTGATAATTCTTACCTTCAACCGAAGTTAAACGTTAATTCTTGTACACAGGCCAAAACCCGATATTATTGCACGATGACATCGGCAGAAATGGATTATGAAAGACAGCAGTTCACTAGTCATCATATCATTTTTTAAAACAACTTGCACCACCCGGTGCATGTTATGTTATTTGAATAGTTATCATGACAGCCAGATAATGTCCAAAGAAATTAAATTAAATATCCGAGCAGTTTTTTAAAGTCAAATGGAGGTTGGTTGTCAGTTTCGCATATTGATCACGATCTTGTTAAAAGATGACAGCAACATTGAAAGGTCTCTGCATTCTTTTGTTCGAGTTATATTAATTTTCCTTGCCTTAAGAAACATTTTGACGTTCGCATTTCTTGAATTGCGTAAATTGCAGACGTATTGTAAAGGCAGGTTTCGGTAAACGGTAACTTATTCACAAGTAAAGATACTGCAAGCAGCTTAACCAAGATCAGCATGCGAAACTGACAACTAACCTCCATTTGACTTTAAAAAAAGAATGTTCGGGTATTTAATCTGTCTTTGGACATTATCTGGCTATCATGATAACTATTCAAATAACACTAAACATGCACCGGGTGGTGAGCACATATTCCAAGTGGTACTGATGAAAATGATATGAGGATTAGTGAGCTGCTGTCTTTCATAATCCATTTCTTCCAATCGATGTCATCGTGCAATAACATTGGGGTTTTGGCCTGTGTACAAAAATCAACGTTTAACTTCTGTTGAAGGTAAGGATTATCACTAACGAGAAATGATTTTTCGTTATTATTTCCAAGTTTCCAGATATTGTATTAATAGTTTTTAGAATATTATAAACATACCAAACGTTTTATTGGTATTATCTGCATATTGTGCTAAATAGATTTTTTTGAATGGTGTTTTTTTGTAATGGTCTTTTATAGCTAGCACAGAAATGGTGTTTCCTGATGATTAGGCAAAATATCACTCTCGATATCATTTTAGTGCTTGTGTTTTGCCTGAGCGGTATTTCGTTTTCACTTGTTGCAGCGCAAACGCAAGCATAAACGCAAGCACCAGAAAAAGGAAAAAGTTTGATCCTTGTGCTTGCGCTTGTGTTTATGCCTGCGTCAAGGCCATTTTCACGGTGAAGTAAGAATTATTGTGATTGCGCTTGCGCTTGCGCTTGAGTTTGCTCTTGCGCTTGTGCTTGCGCTTGTGATTTCGCTTGTGCTTGCGCTTGTGCTTGCGTCGCTAGTGAAAAACAGACTTTATTGACTGGCCACATGGGAAACAGTTAGCTTTGTTTCCCCTCGATCCTCAATGTTCCCCGAGGCTTCACAAAAACTCGCTGTTTCCCTTAGGGTCCGTCATTAAGTGCCTTTTAGAAATACTAAAATATCGCTTTGTTCTTAAAAAAGGCTCGAAACGTCAGTTGCACGATCGAAACGTTAGCTAGACATTATTTCTTCCGAAAAGAGAACAGCTTGAGGAACAGATAAGATCCAAGGACAAATATCCGAGCATATTTTTACGCTAAATGGAGGCTATTGTATTAAGTATCTTTAAAAACTTTTTCGCAACACGCGCGGTTTTGAAAATCGGGGAAAATAACTCGGATATTCCCCAGTTTTAGCTAGGGAATATTCAGTCACGTGACGCGTTTAAACCAATCGCGCGTGAGCGAAAATATTTAATGGATTATAAAACTCTTTAACATCATCGTATTCTAGAGCAGCTCTGAATAAACCGTAGATTTCTAACCATAATTATCATATTCCTTATTATATGATCTAAACAGGGGACACAATAAATCCCAAATAAATTGACCCAGTAACTGTTTATGCTGCGCTGGTTTAAATTTGCTAGCTGGAAGAGCTTTGTTTTGGTTTTGTTCGTCGTTTTGTGGTTTCTTTTTTTATTATTATTTTTTTGGTGTGTGTGGGTGTTTTTGTTTTTCATTTTCCTGCCAAATGGGCAGTGTTCATATGTTTAAAATGATAAGACTGTCTGTAGTCTTAGAAAACCAAGAGGAAGGAATCGGGTCGAATAATTGTAAAGATAGCTTCTCTTTCTCATTTTGACGTTAGCTATTAATATGCACTCAGTGTGAGAACTGTGGTAAACAATTTTATGTCATTAGTGGTTAGCTTTTGTATTACATTAGTGGTAAGTACGTGTATTAAACCTAGTGGTTGATTTTTAATTTATTACATTAGTGGTTGAATTTGATAACTGTGGTTAGTATTACATTAGTGGCCATGGTTCGTTACTATACATTTGCGGGTTATGCTAGCCACCTGTTAGACGAGTTCTGACTTCAGCGAGCGAGGGCGCGCGTTTTGATCAGGCGACCGCCACCTTGTTTTGGACTTAGGGAGGGAAAAGTGTTATAGGCAGTAAGAGTGAGATAATGTAACATGGCGGCAATTCTGCTCAATCGCTCGCTCAGCTGATGCCAATAAATTCGCGCTCCCTCGGAAAACGCTCGCATGCATTTTGATGAGCAAACATGATGAGCAAATTATCAAAACAATGAATAATGAAGCTATGATGTTCTCTCCCCTTTAATTTGTACGGAAGGTAATTTTAAATGTGGACATATTCATCAGATATCGAATATCTTTAGCAAATGAGGATTGCCACTTTCGGTTTTCTCACATTAAACTAGTGATTAGGTCAGTTATCAGGAATTCATCTTTTCATATCTTTCATTAAATCTAGCAGATCTCCCGACTGTGTAACATCGACAACATAGAGTCATGATCCAATCATCTGGCATTGCCATAGCAACGGTACACTCCATACTTATCACCGTAGACATCGTTGGAAATTGCCTCGTTTGTGCGATCATAAAGAAACATCAAGACATGAGGTATGTTGAAACAAAAATTACTAAAGTATGACAGCCAGTTTGAAACGCTGTATATCACAGTGAAATAGAAAATCACTGGCTTGTGATTTACACGTACATAGCATAAACATGAACATGTACATAGCAGTGAACATGAAATAAAAAAATTGAGAGAGCTATAAAGTTCTTCAATTTTACCATGCGCCTGTCTAATTCAGCCATTCTTTTGAAGTTAATCAAGAGAAGATATGAAGAGTAAGACAGTAGGTCATTCATAAAGACCTTATTCTTAAGTTAATCCCTAGCCTGCAATGCTGGCTAAGTGATCCTGCTGAGAATATTTTTGTTTCGCTCGCTGTACAATTGAGATCACCGTTATCAAAGTATCAGTGGACGCTTTAATCACAACGATTTAATTCCATTCGTCGGTAACTACTTTGAAACCTAGAAATATATACAAAGGCATGACCAAACGTAACATGAAACTAAACGAAAGAAACATAAGTAGTTCGACGCCTGATGGCTAACACTTAATTACCCGGTGGCTCAAGAGAGTTAAAGCAAAACGAAACCACAGCTCAAAATCTACGGTAACTGTTACAAGGACGCTGATTGCGAAAGCCTGATAGAATATGCAAATACGTTAATAGCAAAGATTCATACATATCTAAGCACGCGCGGGCTCAAAATGACGCACGTTCTTTCGTGAACGAAACTATTTTTAAGCAGTGAACCCAATTCTACCGTGCATATCAGTTACCAGTTATCAGTTTCGTGGGTATTTTCGTGCAGGAAGAAAATGAGTGTAAAGCCCCTTGGGCTGTCCCCGTGAGCAAAATCGGCGTCACGGGAGTACCTATTTAGACCCTCCTAGGGATTCCGGAACCTGTAGTGATCTAAAAATACCTTGAGATGGACTACCTGGAGAATATATGAAGGACTGAATCTCTTACTCTTCATCTTCTCCTAATTGAAGTATGTATGTATTTATGATATTCCACAGGACTCCCATCAACTATCTACTAGTGAATCTGGCTCTAGCGGATGCCTTGTTTGCTACCTTTATTACACCGGAGATTTTCTTTAGGCTGACTTCCACCCATCCAGGAGGAATGACGGGTACAGTTTTATGCAAATTGATGACGGGTGGAGGCTTGGCATGGTTGCTGGAATTTCGTCGGTAGTCACTTTGATTGCAATTGCTGCTGAACGATATTATGCAGTAATCTATCCTGCTGGCAACATTGGCAAACTTACCAAAAGTAAATTGAAGGTGCGTCACTGACAAAGTCCAATTATTAGTAACTGTGATTTACGAAGAAGCTTGTTTTTAGTATGCATATGATTAATTATATGAAGAAGAAAGTTGAATCGGTATATTAAGCCTTACACGTTCCTTTTTCAGGTGATCATTCCTGGTTCATGGATCTTTTCATTGGTAGTCAACATACCTCTGTTCCTGGCCTTAAACGTAAAGGACAATGCCTGTGTGTGGATGGATGAAGAATGGATGCCAAAAGCCTATTTTTTGTACTGGTCAGCCATTGTAGTTGTAGCCATGGCAACGATGGCCCTGTTGTATTCCAGAATCGTGTACAACTTGTGGTTCAAACGTGATCCAGAGAATCAACTCACCTTCCAACAGAGGGTAAGTATTAACAAACAAGTTCAACACGTGAACAGTTTTCTTTTCATAAATCTTACGTAGAGGACAGGAAAGAAACTTCGAAATATTTCCTCCTTTCTGATCACCTGTATGTCAAGTGTGAGTGTTACTGAAAATTCTCCCCGTAAGCAAGTTTTAATCTTTTTGCACGTCTTTGGGTGCCCTAGTCGACCTTTTCCTTGAGTCAAGGCCTCGCCTGTTAAGAGGGACGGTAGCTCTTTGGATAAGGACCGAAATGATCGTAACAGTACATGCAAGGTTGGCGCATTATGTTCAAGTGTAACGCTCTTTTTGTGAGAATGAGATCGTGACAGTACGTATGACTGTGACATCATGTCTGACATTAGCATTGTGCTGGACAACAAGAGGTCCATCGAATTACAAAATTTAAACTAAAACAATAGGAAAAGTTTGATATGGAGATTGTAATCCTCACCTGTGATTGTCGTTGTTAGTTACTGGATCGCGCTTGCAATAATTTGATTGAAACATACCATTAATATCGTGACACTTTGAAACCGTACGTTTTCAGGCCTTTTTGATAATATACTTTCAAACTACTCTGCTGATTCATTTCTTTTTATCGTAATCGGATTTCATTTCTGTGTCTCTCTCTACACACAGGGCGTCTTGAGAGTGCGGAAACGAGTCACTTTGATGGGGGTAACTGTCACTGCCATATTTGGAATCTGTTGGGCGCCTGACGTATTTGCGCACAACTTAGACTACTACACATCCCTCAGTGTCAGTGAACTCGCTTATGCTGTTATTCATAAGCTAGTACTGTTCAGTTCCGCTGTAAACCCATTTGTGTACGCTCTGGTTAACAAGACCTTTCGACAGAAGCTAAAGGGAATGATATGCTGTAGCTGTACTAGCTCCATGGGATCTACACGAGGTCGGGTTTTCTCACAAAATGTGCCCTCCCCAGCAGGGACATCATCTTTGGAGTGATCGAAAAATCTAAAAGATTAGGCTGCTTTTAATGTTGTGTTGTCATGGTTCAAAAGAAAATGTGACCCAATTGTACAGATTCGAGTTGAGAAAAATCCAGAGATTTTTTTTCTCTTTCTCCGCGAAGCAAGAGAAGGGAATCTCTGTTTTGCAGGGTATGAAATTCAAGTAACAGGAGCATAACCTTTCATAAAGCTAGGAGGAGGGTTATCGTTATGCTTCGATTTAGTGCTAGGGGCGCTGTTTACATTTGGTAGTTTAAAGTGAAAGAGGGGGCGTTTAAAAGAGATTGGGCGTTTATTCCTTTTTGAACAAATATATCTCAATGTGGAACAATAGTTTAATGAAAAACTGATACTTGAACTCGAGAACTTTGATAATGTGCAATATCTTGTTCATGCCGAGTTCATTCATAGTTCATTCATAGTCTAATGTCAATGTCTTAAATGCCACTTTTGCTATGGATGCGCGCGCTCGTACAAATGGGAAAGTGCTTATTAGAAAGGTGCTGCTTGTAGGAAGGACGGCACTAACTTGCATCATCGTGGTATCAAGATCTGAAACCTTTTGCCTTTTGGGATTTTTAGAGCCTATTTGTAAAAACTTTCGTCTTTTTGACGGTTAGCATGTTAAAAGAGCTTCGTTTAACTTGCCAGTTTGATTCAACTGCATCGTGTGCAAACACGATCACCCTAATTAACTTAGTGTTAGCTTGGTGATATCCTCTGTAAATATTGTTTTTATTATTATAGACACCGTAGCGAACGGAGTGATCGTGGAGTAGGAGTCAAGGGCGTAACTAGGGAGTTCCTGAGATGCCCGTAAGCCCCCTCCTCCCCCCTTTGTAAGCCTTTTTTAAGCAAACAACCTACAACAGGTTGGAAAAATGCCATGAAAATCTTGTGAGTACCCTCACTTTGACACAGTGTGACCCCCCTTTGAAAAATCCTGGCTACGTCCCCGGGAGTTCCTGAGCTATAATTACTTAAAATCGCTGAGAGGTGCTATATTTACTGTTTATATGGCAATAGAGTTAGGCATTATAGAGTAAGCCAGATTAACCAATGATTGTTTTGCTGTCCTTTCCTCGAAAGTCGAAACGTTGACATATACGGGAAAGGAAAGAGCCGAGGAAGCTGCATCAGTAGTACTCAGTGAATTAAACGATGGATGGCAAGACCTGACAACTGCCTGTCATGAGCATGACATTTAATATTGCGACTTGGTTTAGTTCCTGCTGTGCCCATCCGAATCCCTTTTCAGGGCAATCCTCACCTACGAGTCCAAAAGGAGTTTAGCCTTATGAAGAAAATTTATATTAATTAACTTAAATGGCATCCTCATTATCAATCATAAAGCAATCGGCAGTTGGAAAACTAGCAGAATTACAAGGATGTGTACGGAAAATCACTAGAGCGTGACTGTGAAGCAAAGCGTCTTCTTCCCTATAAATACTTCCAAAATTCTGACACCCATAAAAGGTTCCTCTTAACGGATATAATAAACCTCTAAATTATCACCCAAGCTTATTTGTAAGCAGGAGATATAAACATTATACTATAATTATAGTTAGCTGCTGTCTTTTCAACATCAATTTCGCATAATCCTGTCTTCGATGATATCCGGTTTTGTGAGCTAGCTACAGCATTACCGTTAACCCTCAGACGTACAGTGGGGAGGGGGGCACTCCCCTCCCCCTAAGGTTTTTTCAAAGTTTTGAAAAAACGATTTACTCTAAGGGTCTAAAACTTTTAGTAGCTGTTCTTTTCATCATCAAATTGCAGAAATGCAAGAAATGCACGAATTTGTACATTTTAAAAGCATCCTGGCTTGATTTTGTATCAATTTCCGTTATTTCTTGACTCTTTAAGAAAATACTAAAGTCTAAGATGGCGGTTCAAATGACGTCATTCGACGAAATATGACGTCATAACCAACAAAAGTGGTATCAACTTGTAGAACAAGCTCAGAGCTATCTAATCAATTTAAATGTATTTCGCTGTGCCGTAACAGAACGAAAACCCATGGGGGGTTCCATCACCCTCTCTCCCTTTGTACCGTAGTGGGGGTATCAGTTAGCTTGTACGTCCGAGGGTTAAATTTTTCCGATTCTCTCCATTTGTAGTAGCAAAATCGCAAAAAAGTTATCATTCTGAAAGAAACCTACTTGCAGCTACAAACCCTCCCCAATATCTAAATTTTATATGTCCGAGCTTATTTTTTACTTATCTTATCCTGCGCACTTTAAAAATAACAAAATCTAAAGGGCCCTCAATTGTATATATTTTGTTTATTTCTCGTTTCCATGGTAACCA